GGGTTTAGGGGTTAAAGGCTTTAGGGGTTTAGGGTTTTAGGGTCCAGGAGTTTAGGGTTTGGCGACTGCCCGTTCTGCGGCTCTAAAAACAGTAGGTTCCGCATCGAACGTCTGGGCTTGTTGCCATCATGATGGATATGGGTAGTTCTCTAAACTAGGGTCCCTTTTTGGGTCTCCAGTATAGTACGGCACCCTTATAAAAAAGACCCCAAAAGGGACCCTAACTTAGAGATCTGCGCATATGAATTATGGCGATGCTGGTCGCAACTGGCTTTCCTCCGCTGTTTTTCAGTTTCTGTCATATGCACTGCAGATTCCGCTGCTGTCTTATTGCAGGTAGTACACATATGCCGCCTGCCAACACTGGGACAGTTATATACATGATTGTCACATATGCTACAGTTTGTACACTACCCAACACACATACGGTTATACCCTGTAAAGACTGTCTGTGTTGTTACAACCCGTTCCACTATCGGCGAAGATACCGCTGCCGGCAACAGTCACGATAACGACGACCCCATTCACGATCATGACTACCACAGCAGCAACCAGTGCGAAAAAGACAACTGCCACGACGACGACGACGAGAACGACGGCGATTCTACTTCTTCTGCTACTCCTCCTGCTACGACGACGACTACTGTAACTGCTACTCCTGCTGCTGCCGCTGCCAGGACATGGATTGCCCTTTCAGTGGAACTGCCTTCTGCACAGTTGCAACACATCTTTCTCAATAATCTTCTCATGTCAATGTCAACTGTTGGCTTTCTTGCGTCTGATTTGTTATAGCTCTATGTCGGTTATCTTGTGACCAGGCGCTGGTGACTGCACAGAGGCTGCCCAGCATCCGTCTAGGGTCCAGTCAACAGAGTCAATACCACAGCTTCAACAACCGCCAGCCCTGAACCAAAATCCTGAACTCTAAACCCCAAAAGAACAGTGTATAAAAGCCTGACCCCGCCCCACCCAGCCGCCGCCTCCTCGTGCGATTTGCTGCCACCCTCCTCTGCACTGAAAAGCATGCAGACCTCGATAGGTTCCCAAGCACGAAGCTGTACCTCAGCAACTACTAGGGTTTAGGGTTTCGGGTTTTAGCTGGGTTTCCGGGGGGAGTCGTTGAAATCTGTCAGGGGGTCAGCAACGAAGCTTCTGGTCGCATGTCTTGCTGACCGTGCTCCTAGTCTGCACACGTTTATGACTCCGTGGTGCAGCTGTGGTTCCCGATGGTTGAAGCTCCCGAAGAAGTCGCTGCAATGCATTTTTGGGTTTAGGGCCTCAAGCCCCCGGGTGCTTCGAAACATCCAAACCCAATGTCCCAGAAAGCCTTATACCCTAAACCAGCAACCGTCAAATCCAGTCCTAAACACTCAATCCTGAAACCCTGGACCCTAATCGTCTGCATCCTACACCATAAACTCTCTCTCTAAACCCTAAACAACACAGCAAGGGGCAGGCGTGGAGTCCGGTAGACTCGCGGGAACCTGCAAGAAGAGCCATCGCCGGATATGCGCAAAGTCCGCAGTGTCCAGAAAGGCGATCTTGCCTTGGTGTTGGCTCTGACTAATAGAGTTGAGTTGAGGGCTGAGAATGTATAATACCAAGCCGTGAAGCGAATGGGCATTTCAGAAGCTTCACCCCTCAAAGCCTGTAAGACTGTAAGAGTTACAGTTGGGGGTCAGCGTTGGAGTTGTTGCAGTTCGCTTGGAGAGGTCCGGCTGTTGCAGGCATCTGCAGAAACCAGCAGCCCTTGTACATACCCATGACACGTGAACGACGACGACAGTCAAAAAGGTGATGCTGAGACTGGGACGGGCGTTGGACATTCTGTAAGCAAAACTGCTGCTGCTGCTGCCGCTGCTTGGATACTGCTGATGATGGTGACAGTGACAGCGGTGAGGAAGACCATGACGATGGTAATAATGGTGACATTGAAGAAGATGGCAATTGACCCCAGGACCAGCAATTGTGAAAGGCGCTCTGTCAGTTGATGATGGCAGAAAGAGAGACCGCGTGAACGGCAGTGGCTGTATCATTAATAATGAGTTGGACACTGACACAAACCAGCACTTGCAAAGCCGAGTTGGTCCCATCGCCTATCCTGAACCCAGTCCGTACCAAAACCCACAACCGCAGCCAGAGCCACGGACCATCGACAGAGGAGCCGACATCTCTCTCAATCTGGAGATCTGTCTGGCTATCTATCTTTCTGTCTGTCTACCTATCTACTTATCTGAGAAAGAGAGACAGGGAGAAGCACATCTTGGTATCACGACATGTGTTTGCATCATGAACTCTAACTTCAACGACTGTGCAAGTTGTTCATCTGTCACCGAGCAGCTCTTGTCCCGAAATACGGGGTCCTGCTTGAGAATGTGCCCCAGCAGGCGAGGACCACTTCCAGAGTCACAACCAGGCATCCATGCAACGTGGAGGGCCACTCGTACCTGGAATGGTCGTTCAGGGCTTGGGGTGCCGGCTTTGAAGCAGCCGTCGGCACATCTAGAGCGAGGCTGTGCGCAAGTACGTCGTGAAAGATGTAGCGGCTCTGCAAGAGCATGCAACCACATTCTTGCGCAGGTTGTTGCCGTTCCTGCAAATACATTGCCTGAAGTGGCCCTGACCGCCCCAAACCCCCAATCTCAGATGAGAAAGGCAGCATCTTGCCTTTCTGAACTGAACACTACACGTTAACTGCAGATTCCAGAACCACCAATCCGGAAAGCCTCGAAGCCCAAGCCTGAAACCTTGAAGCCTTAACATGGTCCCTGTGGCCTCAAGCCCCTAAGTGCATAGCCTAGGTGCAAGGTCAAAGGCATGACGCAAGTCCTGCGCACAGACGAACACAACAAGGGTCGAGGGTTTAAGTTTCGGGCCGGTTCAGTGAAAGTAGGGCTACAGTAGGGCCGGCCACTCCCGCAGCATGCACTTAAGTTGCTCCCTCAAATGCCCAAACACTCAAGGAGACTTGCCATTCGAGCAGTGGCCCGAAGTCCAATCTAACAGCCCAGAACGCGTTGCCGAAAGAAGTCAAAATAACAAGGGCGGAGGCGTTGGGAGAAGCGGGGCGAACCTCCGCGCACACCAGAATACACGCCTCGCATGATGGTGTTCATCCTTACCATAATTAAACTCCTACGGTAGCGAAGCCAAATCGCAGAACCCTCCGGGCTCCTGGGGCGAGTATAAGCACAGCCAAGGCCCAAGGGGCCGCCCGCCACCTGGACCAGCTTTAAATGTGGGGGGTTCTTGATAATTAGAATAGGGTTCCTTTAAAGGGCTCCTTAAAGGGTTCCTCTAAGGGCTCTATATAAGGGTTGAGGGTTTAGGGGCCTTAATAACTAGAATAGGGTTTTGGGGTTTCCTTAGTATACTTATTGTATAATATACCCCAAACCCTACTCCAATTATAAAGGCCCCTCATATTAGGTAGGGCCTTTGGATTTGCTTTAGGCTGCAAGGGGTTTGTTGATTTACGCTGTGACACCTGGGACAAGGCAGGCGAGGTTCCATAGGTCGAGGGTCGGCTGCAAGACCAGTTGCTGTGTATGTTCAGTGGGTTGCGGCATGGAGGAGAAAAAAGGCTTCGGGGTTGGGCCGATAATTGCGCTGCCCTGTAAAGAACAAACATGTTGAATGATCCCTCGAGCTATATCAGAACAACAACAATAGGATTAATCACCTCCGGGTGTGGAATGCTGTTTTCAATGATCCTTCGGGACTTTTTAGCATAATTATAATCGCAACCACAATCGCAAGAATACTGGTAGTAAGAAGCACAGCAGCTAAAGCAATCAGCATAACCAATAGTAGTAACTATGGAAATTGGAATTAATAGGATTATAGTGAAAAACAAATTTCCGAGGGCCAGGTCAAGGTCCTTAGGGTTTTAGGATTTAGGGTTACTGTAAGGGCCTCCAGGGTTTTGGGCTCGTAGCTTGGTTTCTACGAACAAGATATAACCTGCATGCCACCCGTTTGAAGCACATCTAGTTACAACCTCCAGATCCGAAACCCTAAACCTTAAACCCTAAACCGAAGAAAAACGATCCTCAGCCCTGCACCCCGAACACAAATCTTAAAAGCAAACCCCTAGCCTTGAGAGCCCCCTCCAAACGGAAGGCCCTGTTTGAACAGTTGAACTAAATGAGGGTTCGTTTGGTAGGTCCCCAAAATGGCCCGGTACTCCTCTCAAAAAGGACACCCAAAGAGACACCAACTTAGAGGACCCACAAAAAAACCTTATTACAGTACCCTTATAGACCCCTTTTTTGGAACACAGGCTCTGCTCCGACTCAGCTTATAGACCCCTAAACCCTAAACCCTAACTTATAGAAACCCTCAAAAAGGTCCCTTTAAGGAAGCCTAAAGGGGGCCCAAGCCCTCGACTTTTTCAAGAAAGGCCCCGGCCGGTGCAGTCGACGAAGCGGTCGTTCGGCCACAGGCCTGGTACCTGAGAGGGTTCGGGGCTTAGGGTTTAGGGTTTAGGGCTTGGGGTTTAGGGTTTAGGGTTTAGGGCTTGGGGTTGAGGGTTTGGGGTTTAGGGTTCAGGGCTTAGGGTTTTTTGACACTCACACTCGGACAAGCCAGACAAGATCTGTAGCGATACTGGTTCAGCAAGGGTTTGGGGCTTCGGGTTTCGGGTTTAGGATTTAGGGTTTAGGGGCTCTTTTTTCAACGTCCCTTTGCCGTGCGCGAGGTTTAGGGGTTTTTGGCACTCGCACTCGACGACGTCAGGCGAGGTTTCAGGAGGCTTCGAAGATCTAAAGCTTTTGCTCGGGTGGATTTGCCTTGCAGGGCTTTGGGTTTGGTTATCAGGTGTTGTTATGTTGCTCAACGTGATGAATACAGAACCGAAAACAATGTGACCAAAGCTTTGGGGCAGATTCTACGATAATCATGACAAGGAACCGTAAGGAACAGTACCGACCCCTGTATTCAACCCTCAAATCCCTGTAGAGTCTCCTGAATCTTGTGGTTCTCGGCCCATTTCTTGGTACTGGACTCAAGTCTAGCCAGGGTTTAGGGTTTCGGTTTAGGGTTTAAGCACCTGCAACAAGTTACAAACTGCAACCCCTGGGCCCTGTACTATCAAAGCTCCAAGCTTTAAATCCTAAACGTTAAATCCTAACTCAACCCTAAATCCTACTCCTAAGCTCTAAACCAAAGTTGCCCTAAACGCTAGGCTCCTTAGAAAATCCTGAACACCAAACCCTAAACCCTAAACCCCAAACCCTGAACCCTAAAACCCTAAAACCCTATAACATAAACCCTAAACCCCCCAAAACCCTGAACCCTAAAACCTAAAAAAAAAAACAAAACCCCAAACCCTGAACCCCTAATGAAGGCGGCTCCTGGGTCTTGTGGTTCTCGGCAGGGAAGTGCCAATCTCCCACGCGGATCTGATCCTCGGTTGCTGCTAAGGGTCTGGGGTTTAGGGTTTAGGGTTTAGGGTTTACGAGGAACTTAATCCAAGTCACCATCATGGGGATGTATAGCAGTTAATCGGGTCTTCCTTCTCGTAATCACTTAGTTTAAGTTGCCATTATGAGGATATATCGAAAAATATAGGATTTTCTGATGATAGCCACTTAATTTAGGCTACTATAATGGGGGGTATATAGCAAATTCTAGGGTTTCCTTAATTATTTATAACTATTGAAATACTTAAAATAATTAGAATACCCTTATTTTAAGTATTTTCATTATTTCAATTGTTAGAGTTACGTAGCTTAGGTTCCTTAACAGCAAGCCAGGATCGGGCGACTTTGCCTTCGAGGCGGCCCAGCCCAAGATCTCGGGGTCGCAGTAATCCTCTGCTTTTGGGGTTTGGGGTTTGGGGTTCAGGGTTTAGGGTTTAAAGTTTAGGGTTTAGGGTTTGGGATTTAGGGTTTAGGGTTTAAGGTTTGGGATTTTTGGGGGTTTAGGGTTTGGAGGCTTGGCGAAAGAGCAAGGGTCTAGGGTTTAGGGTTGGGGTCAGAGTATTCCTGCGCTCGGCTTTTTGGCGTTTGTGGTTTAGGGTGGGTTTAGAGGTTTTGGGGTTAGGGTTCAGGGCTACAGTCGGTTTTTGGCCTCCTCCTTGGCGCAGAAGTAAGGTTTAGGACTTACGGTTTAGGGTTCAGGGCCTAGGACCCAGAGAGCCCAATACTCCTTAAAAACAGGGGTATGGCTTAAATTATCAGGTGCTGCATATTATGATTTAAGCTATAAGCCCTTTTACAACTGGACTTGATGAATCCCAGCACCCCACTGAGCGCAGGACCAAGGGCTCTGCCGAGGCTCCAGCCCTAAATCCTAACCCCTCCAAAGGGAATTGGGCTCTCTGGGCAGGCATGAAATGACAATCTGAGCTGTCGTCTCGCCACGGCTAGCATCGACAGGCCTCGCCCTAATGTAGGGGTCTCAGGAATTAGAATAGGGTTTTGGGGCCCATTAGACTATAATCATAATAAGGAACCCCCCAAATTAATATAGGTAAATATTAAAGTTATTAAAGCCCCTATACTACACTCGAAATTGCAACAGACCTCAGGTTTGCTGACCTTGAGGCTTAGCTGGGATTTGGGGTCTCGTCCTTCAACCGAGAGTCCTGCTTCTTCATTGCGGAGGTGTACTTGGTCGAAAACGTCCAGCATGGGTGCTGCTGATCCGACCCAACCACACCCTTCTGGCAGTAGACCAGGTAGACGTCTTTGGCTCTGGAACCTGGCTTGAGGTTCAGGGTTTAGGGTTTAGGGTTGAGGGTTTCTTCTGCACTTTCTTCCGACCCAACACCCAAAGTTAGCCCCTAAACCTTAACGCCGAGCCTCAACCCCTAAACCAAGTGTAAGCATCCGAGAGCTTCGTTTCAGACTCGTGGAAGTTGCGGCTGGCAACTCCCATCCCAAGTCCCCAGCAATCCTTGGAACTCGCAGCCCGGGGGCCCAGGTGTGCCATCGATGACGCTGGCTTGCACCAAACGGGGCGATCGTCGACCTGGTGTACAGAAGGTATTTTATGGAAGCTTATTCCATGAAGGCCATCAGAGAGGCTGTAGATGGTTTTGTGCAGTCCACTGTTAAGCTGTTTGTACTTATTTGCGAGCTTTAATCTGGGTTTGACAGGCTCAGAGGAGTGTCTTGTGGGCTTCGTTCGGGTGTTGCAGCTTGTTCAAGCTGCTGGTTCTTGGCCGAACCATGTGAAATCAACGAAGTTTGCTAAATATTAAGACCAGCACCAAACGCCCTAGCTGAGGGATTTCTGGCAGCTAGCTTCGGCCCGCACCTGCGCGCCGCCGATCAAGAAGTACTCCCCCACCTGGGATGATGACTGCATCCCCACTCGGGTGCCAAGCCATAAGGAGGAGGATGCACCCGATCTTATGACGGTTCGATAGTTGTTACAGAATTCGAAGCTCCTGGGGTTTTGTGTGTCAAGAACTCAGACGCATTTCATGAAGTCACATGTCATCTTTTACTGTAGGATGTCTGAAGGATTCACCTGCCATGGCTCCACACTACCACTACACCACCCAAATTCGGGGAGAAGGGCGGCTCAAAACTCCCAAAACCTGGACACCCTTTTCCCTTCACCCTAACCCTCCCCACCACAGCCCTAAACCCACATAAACCCTCCAGAGAAGACCTGGCCACCAGAAACCCCAAAGCCCTCGAGCCCTATCAACGTTTTGAGGGATACCTTATAAGTAAACCCTAAACCCTAAACTCTGAACCGCAACAAACCTGGAAGACACCCCTAGCAGCAGCCCTTCGGGGAACCTTCTGAAGGCACGCCCTAAGCCCTCTCAACCCTCTGAAGGAACCTTTGCTCCGAATCTGCGAGGCAAAAAAAGGTCTCGAAGCGAGGCAGGTGCTCCAGAGAACCCTCCTAGGAAGCTTCTGATGACCAGGTTTGAGATGTGGGGCTTGGGGTTTAAATTTAGGGTTTGGGGTTTAGGGTTTAGAGTTCAGGGTCCAAAACTCCAAAGCCCTACAGCCCCATGAACCCTCTGACCCTTTTACACCTGGACTACGCATATGCCAGGAACCAAGGCGCCGACTTGACCCTAAACCCTAAACCCTTGTAGGAACCCTCTGAAGACCAGGCCACCATGTACTCGCGGCAGAATTGCCGGGCAAGGACTTTCACCGATGGTGGCGCCGTGGTTTGCCCTAGGAGGAACAGCCCATCCTTTAGGTTCCCGAAGAAGCCCGCCAGGGCCTGGGCACCAGGTTTGGGGTTTAGGGTTTAAGGTTTAGGGTTTAGGGTTTAGGGTTTAGGGCTTAGGGGCCGAAACA